CTTCATATCTTGCTGGTAAATGTTGTCATTGACAGGATGCACGAACACTTGCAGGCGCACACACACATTCACACACCGCCTGGGCCCAGTTGTTCTTTCTTGCTTCTTTCCTATTGATCACTCCATTACTGGCATTGATTGTTTTATTTGTGTGTATAATGTCATTTGGTTGAGTCTGCAGCTTTGTGTGCTGCTGTCTAGTTTGCTCGATTGTTCTTCAAAAGACAGAACTTGCTTCAATAGGACAAACAAGTTCAATTATAAAGCAAAAAAGTACCATTTGAAAGCTCCTACAAACTAATGGTTTTAGATTTACATAAGCTTGGAAGTAATTACTGCAGTCTGTTAAGAAAAGACATAATATTCCGTCTTAATCACAGCAGAAGATGTCATTTGAAACATGATAATTCTGTGTTTAGTCCTCACTGTGTACTCACAGAGAGGATGCCAGCCATCTGAGTGTAAAACAAGCTGCTCATGCCACCAAACATCATGAGACCCATCAGCGTTGAGACTCTCATCAGAGCCAGTTCATGGCGAGTTGTAAACTTCTCCTGGTGGAAGGAAACAGAACACTACATCTCTTATATTTGTTTTTGCAACTGATTCTTACAGGATGGAGCATTGCATCAAGCACTTTAACCTTCATGCCTCACATCACAAAGGAAACTTTTGCTCCTTTCTTTTAATATAATTGTGTCTGTTCTAATGCAGATGGCCTGATGGGTGTGTTTTTGTTCCAACTTTAAAGTTTAACCTCAGCTCCTTTAATACAAGTCTACAATAAAGTGCGTCACTAAAAAACAGATAGTAAGAATCTTGAGTAAAACATTTCTCCATTAAAACCAACATTTCTAGTTAGGGCTGATTTCCTGCTAAAAAAAAAGTTATTGTTGTAAATAACCATTCCCATATTATGAGAGAACATTTGTTATTTTCACAACAACCAAATATCATGTACAAAAAATTTAATTTAAATGGGTAAATGTATGATAAAGAATGAACATTTGGCAATAATCAGGACTAAAGTTGATTCAAATATTATTTCTGTGAAAGTAAAACATAATATAACAATATCCTCAGTTTTTTATGCATTTATTTTTGTCCTGTAAAGACATTTAAAGGGATACACAAGGATTATGATGAATGGATACTGATACACATGTCTGAAATACAATTTGTAAACTCCAAAATCATTTTTCTGTCAAATGAAGGTATGATTTACTGATTTTCCTGCAGAATGTACCTGGTCTAGTCCTGTGAGTGGCTGGAAGTAATAGTACTGGCAGAAGTCCAGCACCAGGGTGAACAGACTGAGAACCTGAGTGTAGAAACAGAGCTGCAGGAAGAGCCAGTGGTTGTCTTCTCCCACACAGTTATTGATCCTGGAAAGAAGTAAACAGGATTTAAAACATGACATCATGTGTGTGTGTGTGTATGTGTGTGTGTGTGTGTGTGTGTGTGTGTGTGTGTGTGTGTGTGTGTGTGTGTGTGTGTCCTTACCAAGGACAGTGGTGGTCCATTTTGCGCACACAGTGGCCACAACGACTGCAGTGGTGGGACCTTTTGGGTCTCATCAAGTTGCATTTATTGCACAACTCCCAGTGCTCTCGCTCTGTGACACAAACATATCACCTGTAGTATTATATATCATTAGGTGACACAGTAATAGCATATTTACAGACTGAATGAGAAGTATTCGCTGATATCCATTTCACATGCTTATCAATTCCTATTAACGATTGCCAGCATGTTTTTCCCACAGATGCTAAAAACTCTATTCAAATCTTTCTTGTAACACATGACTATATTTCTACGGAAGAATTGTGCATTTAATCAGTCAGTTTTATATTTGTTTTTCAAGTGATTTCCTTCTAAGAAAAGGAGCATTTTATTGTAATGTGTTCATATGTAGTTGGGACGATATTCTACAATGTATGACAACAATAAAGATTGGTATAATTAAAATATGTAATTCTATTCAAGTGACATGTAATGTAATGTAATGTATTCCCTAAATCTGACACCCTGGATGTGGATCCATACCGGAGTGAGGTATTTTGGGGTCTACAGGAAGACGGCCAGGATCCGCCGTAGAAGCTCTGAAGAGGGCCGCCAAGCAGAGTCCTGATGCAATGTAATAACCTGAGGGAATACACAGTGGTCAATTCCTTCCCCAACCGTTGAGAAATGTTCTTTTGAATCTATTTATCTGTGTCTCAAAAAGGATACGCACAAACTACGATGGCCCAGGGGATGTGTCCCTCGTTGTAGTGTGGAAGCAGAACCAGTTTAGGGATGAAGAAGGTGTTGTAGAGCCAGATCCCAAACACCATGCTGATACACAGCCAGCCCATAGGGTCCACCACAAAGTGCAGTCGTAGCTTCATGGCTGCTGGGAAACCTGCAAACGACACACACAGATCTGCTTTTAGATACTTGGGAGGAGATCTTCAGATATCAGACAGATTGTGGCTGATAGAACAGCCCCTGACCTCACACATCTTGAAAAACTTGACATACATGTTTTACTGGATTGTTATTATTCCTTTGCATTAACAGAGAGGGAGAGTAACAATGAGTTGCAGCCTTACGTTTTTGACTTACAAATTAAATTGTAACATAGTTCCCTGTATTGTTATCCATGTATTTCTTTTGTTTTTAGAATTGATTGATAGCATTGACTGGTTAGTTTGTTTGCTTGCTTTGTGTGCTTCTTTTTTCATTTAATCAATGTGTTGGTTGTATGTAACTTTTACATTTGTTGTACTTTTCCTGAAGTAAAAGGGATTGTCGTATAAGTCTATGGCTTCACAACCTCTCCTGTCACTCTCCTGTTATGTCACTTATTAAATTATTACATGGAAATTAATAATATGTTATCTATTGCATTTCACAAGTAACCTTCCCAACACTGTGTGAAAGACTATCATCATCATCAGTGGTACCATTGATTTAATCAAAGCTGTGACATTTTGCTTTAAATATTGTAACATAGCATTGAAAATGTTTCTGTATATGACTGACCAAAAGCCAAATGGAATGATTGAGATATCTAACATGGGTTGAAGAGGGAATATTGGTCAACACAGGCCTACTACTACTACTTTGTCATGAAGCAGGTGTCTATAAACAAGCCCAGCCCTAACCACCTCACATCACCTTACACATATTTTAAACATGATCAGTTTGAGCTAATATAGCCCAGCCTGACAGCCCTGATGATAAACCTGCTAATATGCACTGGTAACCTTGTTATTGGCCAGCCTCGCCTGCTCCATCCTTCATACTGCTGACAACACTGGAGCCGCGATGGGCTTGGCTCTATAGCTTCACTGTCAGCTAACAGAAGCGTGCTAACGTGATTTAATTACATCATGTTCATATACAAATCACACAATTCAACGTAAGTCATGATATCCTACAATAAAATGAAAAGATACATACTTTTTTCGTGCTGTCCTATTCCTTATTCGGGCACGTATCATCAGTGTATCTACTTCCTCATCCGAGCCTCTGTGGGCTGGACAGGAGCAGCGGTGTGACACCTGCAACAAAATAAAACACACTTCCGGTTTTACTACAAAATAAAACATTCTGATTACGAAATAATTATTGATGTTTTTAATTTACCAGAAGAACAATTAACTTCTGCCACATAAATAACTAAAACAATTAATTAAAATAACAACTTTTGGTTTGACTTTTCCAAATGTAAAGAAACATACGGAAGAGGATTAGGGCCACATAAAACATTTTTTTGTGAGGATTTGAAAAAATATATTTTTTTTTTTGTTCTGAGAAAAAAGTCAGAATTCTGACTTTAATCTCAGAATTCTGACTTTTTTCTCAGAACAAAAAAACATTTTTTTTTTTGGGAGAAAAAAAGTCAGAATTCTGACTTTAATCTCAGAATTCTGGCTTTTTTCTCAGAACAAAAAAAAAACATTTTATTTGGGAGAAAAAAGTCAGAAATACCGGTAACTGTAGAACCAGCTTCACTGCGATTTACACATTGCAGATGGTTGTAAAATGACTTATTATGGTTTCCTCTTGGACCCCTCTGGCGCGCAGAAATTCACTCACGTCCTCCATTGTTGCCTACTGCAATGTGTAAATCGCAGTGAAGCTGGTTCTACAGTTACCGGTATTTCTGAGAAAAAAGTCAGAATTCTGAGAAAAAAGTCAGAATTCTGAGATTAAAGTCAGAATTCTGACTTTTTTCTCAGAACAAAAAAAAAAATATTTTTTTTCAAATCCTCACAAAAAAATGTGTTATGTGGCCCTAATACTCTTCCGTAGAAACACAAGTCAAACAGACTACTTAAAATATAAATACATTTTAGGTTTTAATCTTATTCCATTTGCCTCTTTCGACTACACACATTTTGTTTCAAAAACGTAATGAAGCCTGTGTTTGGTGGGAGCTTATGAATGCTAGAATCGGAATCTTTATGCTTTTATTTGAACAAAACACGTTTCCTGTTGTATACTGGTTGTTTTCGGCAGCTTGATAAACAGGTGGGCGGTGGACTCTCTTGAGCGCAGTGCAGTAGCAGCAGCAGTGACAACAGTTTGCTGCCATCTTCTGGTGATAAATGATTATTACATCTCGAGGCCATCCACTTAAATCCTATTATAAAAGATGATAAAGAAACATTACATTATTATAACATAAAATAATACATCTTACAGACTTAGCTTTATGAATGTAAAGTAAAAACTATAAATGGCAGTCTGCTAAACCTAGGTTTTTGTTTTCAAAGTAGCATTATGCTAACATTTAACATTCTTAGTTTAAGTGAATAGTTTCCATAACATGTAGGCCTACTGAATTTTCCGAATGGATACTAGAAAATCCAACCCTTACAGTCATTTTCTTTTGCTCACGAAATAATTCATTACGAAATTGTGACTTTTAATCTTTATATATATTCTATGCTTTTAATATGTATTCAGTTTTCCATGTTCTACTTCCTGTGACAGTTAGCGCAATTACATGACAGTGACGTAATTCTACTTCCGCTAGCATTAGCGGCCGGTGTTTGTTGACAGCAACGCCGCATATCACAACTCAACTGTGGTAGTTCGTCGTGTTGTTGGGACAAAATGGCATCATCTAGCTCATACAAACTCCGGTGCTCCATCCCGGGCCATGAGATGGATGTAAGGGGACTCGCGAGTGCTGTTTTTCCAGAGGGAGCTTTTGTGTCTGTGTCCAGAGACCGAACCGGAAGAGTCTGGGTACCAAACTCAAGGTAGCTAGCATTAGCCTGCTACACACTAACTAATTGTGTTGGTCGGCGAGGTTTTAGTTTAGTTTATAATGACCTATCCTCACTTAACCAAAACAGTAGCAAGCCGATTAATAACGCCATTAAAGTTGCAGCTGTTTATTCACAAGTGTTAGCTTGGTAACGGCAGTTAAGTTAGCTAGCTGAGCGGTTTGCTAACGTTACTCAAATTAGCTTTGTCATTCATTCAACTGCAACTCCCAATGTACACAGCGCACATCTCCCAGGAGCTGTTAAAGTCCACCATATTTAGTTTGATGGACTGTTCATTTACTGAACTTTTTATAAGCCACAAAATTGACAACCACTTGTTCCTTCCAGTATTAAGTTACGAATTCACTCAAGATCTGTAAATGTTGAGGTTCTTATCTTTAACTCCACTACATTTCATAGGCAAATATTGTACTTTTTTTAAATCACACATTACACAAAAACATTCAGTCACTAGTTTCTACAAAGATTTAGATAAATAACACGAAATATTGTCAACAAAAAAAGACGATGTATTATTAGGACTTTATTGATCCCCTGCTGGCAGATATCACAAAATCTATCTACATATTAATCCAACAATACTTATTATTCTGATGGATAATTGTGAAATGGACTTTTTTGTTGTGTAATTTTACCTTTTGTACAATATTTTGTGTAAGTAATTATTTTAGTTTAATTATGTTAAATGTACATTTATGTTCTTCCACTACTTGTTTTCGCACAAATAACCACTGTCTTTGTTTTCTCTCACCCTCTCTTGACAGCCCTGATAACGGTTTCACAGAGATGCACAGTATTTCTGGCCACACCAATTTTGTATCCTGCGTATGCGTCATCGCTCCCAGTGAAACATATCCTCGAGGACTCATTGCCTCAGGTGGAAATGATAATAACATATGTGTGTTCACACTGGACCAAGCACAGCCGGTATTCACTCTCACAGGTCACAAAAACACAGGTGAGTAGTGCCTCACTGTGCACTCCCAGGTTGATTACATTCTAATAGGCATCTTATTTGTCATAATGTCGAGAAATCTCAGTTTTTCTGATTCAAACTATCTATGCTTACTCTCCACAGTTTGCACTCTGTCTTCTGGGAAGTTTGGCACACTTTTAAGTGGCTCCTGGGACACCACCGCCAAAGTGTGGCTCAATGAAAAGTGCATGATGACCCTGCAGGTACGCTGAAGCTTCTATGGTGCCACTCCGAATGTCTGGCTGTTTGTCAGATGTTGTTTTCTTTGATAGACTGTGGTTGACATTATCACTTTTACAACATGTCTCAATGTTGATTTGATATATGCAACTGTAACAAGCGATGTTTTTGATATGGTGTGTGGGACAGATTATAACCTTTGCTGGTTTATTTTTTCTACAGGGCCACACCGCAGCAGTGTGGGCAGTGGTCATCTTACCTGAGCAAGGCCTTATGCTGTCCGGATCAGCAGACAAGACCATAAAGCTTTGGAAAGCTGGTCGCTGTGAGAAAACGTATACAGGTGAGAGTTAGATTGACACATGTGAACCAATTCCTTTTTTTCTTTGTTTTTTGATCGGTGTGCTCAAACTAAAACTAAAGTGTAGCTGTTGATAAGTAGGGACAGCTAATTATGTCATTCTTTGATAATGAATAAACATCATTTTGGCTTATCTTTTTAATCTTTACAACAATAAACTACATTTTCTGGGAGCCCAGGGGTTTAAGGTTTAAATCTATGATAACAACACAACCGGTTTTCTCTCTTTTCAGGACATGAGGACTGTGTCCGAGGGCTGGCAGTGATCAGCGACACTGAGTTCTTCTCTTGCAGCAACGACGCAAGTATCAGAAGGTGGCTGGTGACTGGGGAGTGTGTACAGGTCTACTACAGCCACACCAACTACATCTACAGCATATCCGTCTTCCCCAATTGCCAAGGTTTGTTCCATTATATTGATATTTAAATGCCTATAAAAGAGCAGAATGGTGTGTGTAATGTTTGTAACGAACTGTACGACCATGGTCATTTATTGAACCGGAATTTGTTTAACTGACAGACTTTATTTATTGATCATCAGAAAGTGATACAACTCATTTACAACGTGGTCTCAAGTAGTGTTAATTTCGTTGACTAAAACTATGACGAAATATGTTCGTCAACGGCCTTTTTTTCCATGACGAAAACGAGACGATGACGAGACGGCACCGACGGCAGTAAACAATAACTGTAACGAAATCATCATGCAATATCGTTGACGAAAAGTGACGAGACGAAAATGTAGTTTACTAAATAAAATCTATGCCAAAATCTCTCTTTTACTTTCGTTGACGAAAAATGAGGAGACGAAATATTATCAAAGATAACGTTACATCTCTGATAGTCAGTTTTTCTCCCAGCAGTTCCATTTCCGGCGCTGCGGCAGCCGGGCAGCAGCTGTGTGTCCGTGCTGCGCGCGGCGGTAGATTTGAATTACACCGGGCAGCGGCAGAATATGATATGTCAGGTCATCATTGTAAATAAGAATTTGTTCTTAATTGATTTTCCTGGATAAATAAAGGTTCTACTACTACATGAACTGTCAAGAGGACTTGGGTCTAACTCATGGTCTAACTAACCTTATTTAACAGAAAATGAAATGGCAACAACAGGGCTTGGGAGCAGTGGTCGCACTCGCGTTAACCGAAGACCCCCCCCCCCGTCAGCGCGAGTGATTGATAAATTGTGCACTCGACGGATAATAATGGATTATGACGGAAATGTTACGATCCTGTCCGTCAAAATGACTGACAACGAAAAAGTCTAAAGCCACCACTGCTTGGGAGAAAGAAACGATGTGATATTTGGGCCCATTTTCGCTACAATGAGGCAGAGAAAAAAAGCGAATGCATTGTTTTATCAGAAGGGAAGCAATGTGGCCATAACACAGCTGGTGAAAACACCACAAACCTGAGCAGATCCTCTCTGCAAAGCTGCATTCTTAATCATTCAACCTGAGTTTTTCATCAAATAAGGACAAGATATAATCTTATTTATTTATATATACTAAAATGATAAATTATTGGTTTTGGCTAGACTAGTTTGACTGAAATGTTCTATATAATCTGATGACTAAAAAAGACTCAACCGGTTTCATTGACAAGAAGTAGACTAAAATAATTAGTTTTCTTTGACTAAAATAAGACTAAAATGCTCAGACTTTTAGTCGACTAAAACTTGACTTAAAAAAAACAGGATGAAGGTGACTAAATATGACTAAAACTAAAAAGGAAATTTAACACAGGACTAAGACTAAAACTAAATGAAAAAATAGCTGACGAAATTAACACTAGTCTCAAGAAGATGTAACAAGATGAAGACAAACACAAACAAACTTCCATCACTAAAAACTAAAATAGCTAAATTAGCACTTTTACTTGAAGTCAGTTTAGGACTGACTTCAATAAGCCTGTCAAATGTAAACACTTGAAAGACTGTAAGATGGTAGCTGGCTCAACCTGATTTCTAACTGATGCTTTTCCATTAGACTTTGTAACAACGGGAGAGGACAGGACTGTGAGGATATGGAGGCAGGGAGAGTGCTCTCAGACCATCCGTCTGCCCGCCCAGTCCGTCTGGTGCTGCTGTATTCTACCTAACGGCGATATAGCCATTGGAGCCAGGTAACAACTTTTTTTCTCTACTTTTCCTCTAGTGTCATTTCTGACATGACTCATGCAATCACGCAACATGATGGAGATTCTCAGATTTGTTCTGCTCCTGTGCTACAGTGACGGCATTATCCGCGTGTTCACGGAAGTCGTAGACCGCATTGCGAGTGCAGAGGACCTGCAGGCTTTTGAGGATGAACTCTCCAAAACCATCATTGACCCTAAGACGGGCGACCTCGGAGACATCAAAATTGAGGATCTTTCTGGAAGGGAACACCTTGAAGAGCCTGGTAAAGAAAGAGACGTTTATGTTATGATATTTACATCCAAGATGGCTCAATTCTGTCTGAAAATGAAAAAGACCCATTGCTATTTCTACATCGAGATTTTTTGGCTTATTTCCTCAAGGGAATCGTGACGGACAGACGCGTCTGATTAAAGAAGGAGATAAGGTGGAGGCATATCAGTGGAGTGTCAGTGATGCCCGCTGGATGAAAATCGGAGATGTGGTCGGGGGCTCCAACGCGACCTCCAAGAGTGTGATGTATGAAGGAAAGGTAATACCATAAACTTATTGAAAGGGCTGCAATGTACAATAAAATGTCCGAAAAATGTCCAAGGTGATATCTTTTAGTATCTTGTTTTCGTCCAAAACCCGAAGATATTCACTTATAATATAAAGAAAAAGCAGCAAATCTCCATATTTGGGTTGAGTTGCTGATCGACTTTCTGTCTAATGACTAATTTTAGCCAAGGTGAAATAAGCAAGCACGCTTGAAAAGAGTCATAAATGTCTCCTGATCTCCCCTCAGGAATATGACTTTGTCTTCACCATTGACGTGAATGAGGGCGGGCCGTCCATGAAGCTTCCCTACAACGTGGCAGAGGACCCTTGGCTGACAGCGCACAACTTCCTGCAGAAGAACGACCTCAGCCCCTCGTTCCTCGACCAGGTTGCCAATTTTATAATAGAGAATACCAAAGGACAGGTGGTGGGACCAAACCCGCCCGCCGGAGGAGACCCATTCACCGGAGGAGCTCGGTATATCCCCGGAGCTTCTGATGAGAGGTCAGCCTTTGGAGCTGATCCCTTCACAGGTATTTACTTCATTTACTTCTTAACAATCTGACCATCACTAGAGATGCTGTTTTTTTTACAGCCGTTTGATTTCTTTCTCGTCACAGGCTCCGGTCGCTACATCCCAGGGTCGGGTCCGAGCCCAATTGCTTCTTCAGGTGTGGCAGATCCCTTCACAGGTGAGTTACTACCTGAGGAATGTCTGATTTAATGAGAAAACTCAGTGTGAACTATGGGGAAAAAATTATAAAATTGAGAACAGGAATTAATTCGCAAGCTTGGATATGAAAAATATAATTTCAAATAAAAAAACGGTGTCCAAATATGCAAATACGCACACATTAAAAAATGTCAGGTCAAAAGTCTCACACAATGGCCTCTAAAGTTAAGCAATGGTTCGACTGGTTTGACATTAAGGATAGCTATAAAATGTATCAGATTTTCTGCAAACATTTGAGTTAGAAGCTGCTTTTTATTATTAACTAAGACAACGTATTTGTGTGTCACAATATCCTGATTTAAGCACAGTACATTTCTACTGAAAGAGTATGAATCATCATATTGCCCTTTTTAATGTTGAGTTTTCCATTCATTGATCCTTCCCTACTCTTCAGGCGGAAGTGCGTACTCCTCAGCAGCTCTCAGACAGGCGTCGACTAACATCTACTTCCCCAAAACTGATGGAGTGACTTTTGAACAAGCCAACTCCGCGCAGATCATTGGTGAGCATTTCAACTTTGGGATGTTCCACCAACTTTTAAATGTTTCAATAATCAACATTTACAATGAATTTATCGTCACATGGGTATTGTCCCAAAATGTCCCTGTTCTATAAACCCTCCTTACTGTGATGATGTGTTCTTTCCTCTCCAGCCAAGATAAAGGAGCTGAATGGAAGTGCCCCTCAGGAGTACAAGCTTTCCCAAGAGGCTCTGGAGAGTCTGGTGAGGCTGCTGGGGTCCATCTCTGAGCCCAACTCCTCCGAAGCTCCCCCAACCATCCAGGAGATCAACCTGCTGTGGAAGGCCTCTCACTGGCCTGAAGGTATAACCACAGCATTCCAACACTTTATGATAAATATATTTTTTTGGATTGAGGTAGTGGCAAGTTATGATCAAAATCAGAAAAGATTAACCTGAAAAACATTTCATATTTCTCCCGGCTTTTGATGTCATCAAAAAAACATGTCTTTTGCCACTTTAAGGTTCAATATTTTTCACAAACTAAACTCCGCTTTCTTTCCCTCTGGACCTTAGACATTGTGTTTCCTGTGCTGGACATTATGAGGCTGGCAGTGCGCCACCCGACGGTTAACGAGACCCTCTGCGGAGAGGCAGAGGGGGTCCAGCTGTGCAACCACCTGCTGAGCCTGATGAGCCCTGAGGGTCGCCCTGCCAACCAGATGCTGGCGCTGCGGACTCTGTGTAACTGCTTTATGGGCAGACAGGGCCGGGCCCTCCTCCTGGCCCAGCGAGAAACGGTTCTATCACGAGCTGCCGACCTGGCCGGCATCTGCAATAAGAACATCCACATTGCCCTGGCCACTTTGGTGCTCAACTACGCTAGCTGCCTGCACAGCCAACCAGATCTCGAGGCCAAGGCCCAGTGCCTGTCTGTGGCCAGCCGGGCTCTGGAGACGGTACAAGACAAGGAGGCTGTTTTCCGGCTGCTGGTGGCCTTGGGAACCATCGTGTCCTCGGACCAGTCAGCCAGAGAGCTGGCTCGCTCCCTGGGGGTCAACTCTCAGATTTCCAAATACTCATCTGTGTCCGACCCATCAAAGGTGGCCGAGTGTTGCAAGCTGGTTTTAAAAGAAATGCAATGATGTGAATGATTAGAAAAAAGCACTTCTTTCTTACGATCACTCTGTTATGCTTAATCGGTTGTGGTGGAGACTTCAATACTTGTATGTTCTGCAATAAAAAAGGACACATTAATGCTAAGCCTGTGTTTTCGATTACTGCACCACCTTTTTCAAGCCCCTTGACTAATTTGTTTGGAAATGTTGGGCAACTGCATGTAATAATTGATTATAAATGTGTGTGAAATATTATTAAAACACTGTAAAGTTAAATCACTATGCAAAAGGAAACTGGTGAAGGATATTGTGATTTCAGAATTTTCTAACTTTTCAGATGGCTAGTAAAATAATTGACTGCTACTTTGTAACCAGTAGACTACTTATTTGGTTAAAAAAACGATTTGCCACTAATAAGAAAAAGGAGTTGGTGCGCCACACACTTAATTATCCCTCCGATGGAAATTATCTGCAGTAATTAATGCTTTTTTGCATCAGTTTATGGTGAAGATCTTTATCCGTGTAAAGGAAAACAAAATGAAGGTGACATACATAATTTAAAATTAAATAGGCCATAATAGATTTGTGTGGATATGATTTCTGTATTTAGTTTCTTGGAGTGAGCTCTTTAAATGTTCATGTGACATTTATAAATAATAAATAACCCCTGGATTTTAATAACTCGTGTGTCAGTAAGATTTCTGCTCGTATTCAAAACGTGCTTTTGAGGTTGCGTACTGTACCGGAGGTGTTATTGTTGCAGCGGCCCTTCAAAAATAAAAGTCCTCCGTTACTTTGATCTCAGTCACACTTTTAATGCTAGGGCAAAAATACCAGCTTTAGTGTAAAACACCGACAAACTAAGCATGTAGTCCAATTTGTTATTTAAAAACGACCTGTACAACAGAAAAAGTTAAGAGGTCGCTGTAACTGAAGCTTCGAGAAATGAACCTATTTTCGAAACAATTGTTCAAGTGGTTCGATGCTTCACACAGAGCTTAATTTGCCCATCACTACCTTGTACAGCCTTTTTGTTATCGCAGCTCTCAACCATAGCTCTCAACATGCCCAGACGTATAATGATTTTCACCTGGTTTAATACTTTTCGCCTCATTCTGGTGTTGGTGACGTGTATTGTGCAAGACCAGAAGTGTAGTTCATGGAGCGATTTCACACAAAAATAAGTGTTACTTCACAGTTTTAGGACACACTTTTTTTCCCTTGACTTGCACAATTATCTTTTAAATTGACAAACATCGTGTAATTCATGGCACAATTCAAACGGGACCGAAACCCTATTGATTTTAAGATATTTTCATAGTTCATACAATCATATGTAGCCTATTGGGATCATTTGTATTAATGTGGACCGGAGGGAGAGGGTGACGAGCATAAGTTTCACTTTCCTTTTTTATTTCAATTCCAACTTTGGTCATGAAGAATATGTTTCTCTGTTGTCCACGTTCATAAAGCAAAGCAACAGCATCAGAGCACGGTGCAGAGTCTCTAGATGAGTTTACAGTAGTCCCTCCTTCTTATTAAACATCCATGTAGTCCGTTGTATAGAAAACTGTAGTTTCCATAGTTTCCCCTATGGTTTCCATGTGGTTTCCCCACAGCAGCAGACGCACATTTATGACGTCAGCGGGCGCATCATAAACACGTCGGACTTGAAAGTGCAGTCGGATTCTCTAAAGTTCCGCAGTCTCTTCTCCTTTTGAATTCTCCTATCCATTATCCCTTAACCCCGTGACGTTTCACACATAAGTAAAGGGATAGACGATAGGAATAGACGTTAGGAGTTGATTTTTTGACTATTCGACCGCAACCTTTGCCTCTCTATTCGTTCAATCGCCGGAAGTATTTGTTAACAACATCCGGGTGGTTATTGGAAAAATTGGCGGTTCTGTTTGCTGTTGCGTTTTCATTTTCCTGACTAAATTTGAGAACTTTTACCTAACAAATGTGAACTCAAACTATACTTAACTGTACATGCTTTTACAATATGTATGTATGTGTATCTGCAGTGTTTGTTAATGTTGTTGCATGTTTATATGTGACAACTCAAAACAAGTTAGCCGACAGTAAACTTTGCAGCTAGCAGCTAAAGCTAGCTGACTAGCTTTGAACAACAACGTTAGCCGGACACCCGTTTCTTCCATCTCGGGATAATGGCGAACCCGGTATTGTTGCAGAAGAAGAATGGAAAATACTTGTGGTATGCTCTTCTCGGGTTAGGACTTCAACCAGAAAAACTCAACTTAACCGCTAAACGCATCAACCTGGGACCGTGAGTCAGCTTTTATTGTGAATAGCATGTAAATACTGTGTAATGTTAGCTTACTTAACAATGGGTTGTCCTGTGTAGCAGTGATAACGGCATCTCAACTTTGGTAACAAATACTTTAAGTTACATTTAAATGTTCGTTCTCAGTGCGTCACTTTTGACTGTATCATAACTGGGTTAAATGCAGTGGTCTAAGTAAATGACCTCAAGTACTGTATTTAAGTACAATTTTGAGGTACGTGTATTTCTTCTCTACTACAAATCAAAGGTCAATTGTGTACTTTTACTCCACTACATGTATTTAATAGCATTAGTTACTTTGCAGATTTGGATGAATGATGTGTAATGTAAACACTCAAATTAAGACTTAGTTACACCTGGAGTAAAATCCACAAGTTACCAGGATAAACAGGATTAGCTGCAGCTTTAGCAGCTTTGATAACTCTCTAATGCATTCATAACTATAATCAAAACATACGATATATATCATTCTGAAATGTGCCAATCTGCATAATGAGTACTTTTACTACTTAAGTATATATTGACTTTAACCGGAGTAACATTTTGATTGCAGGAATTGTACTTGTAACATAGTATTCCTACACTCCGGTACTTCTACTTTGACTTAAGTACAAGATCCGAGTACTTTTTCCACCTCTGATTAATAGTTATTTTATGGCCAACAGGAATATGTTCGACAAACCAAACAAGGATGCCTTCTACATAGTAACCCATTTCCTTTTGGAGAGACTCAGCCCAACGCGATTTAATGAAGCATACAGGTAAAGTTAGTCATCATTACCTATTTGAATTCACATATAATGTCTTGGAATTATTGTTATAACTTTTGATATATTTGTTTAGGCACTGCTGGCCTGTGTTGTGCCACAAAGCAGATGCGGAGTTCCGCAAAGTGACCTGCGCTTGGCTGCGAGAAATAATGGTGAGAAATTGTGTTTCTTTTACATAAATATATTCTTCATCTGTCCAGTGTCGACAGATAATGTTACCCTAGTTATGTCATCACAAAGGACATTGTGTTCACAACTTCTTACTTCCCCGCTTTCCTTTCATCATTTCTGCTCTTCACCCTAATCTTCTCCTTGCATACTACATTATAGTGTTCATTCACAACATAAACAAATCCACACAAAGACTTATATGTCATGCATATTAATAGTAAACCTCATGTTTCATCACTTTTCCTGTTTTTAAGCACATTTCTTTCAGGCAAACTTAGCTTAAAGTAAAAAATGTTCATCATTATGCACAGGGCTGCACATAACTGGTGCGCATGCGCACCTCGGCCAAAAAAAGAGCACCGGGTCATTTAAAAAAAAAAAAGGCGCATTTGCGCACCAACATTGAGAGAGGGAGAGAGAAGAGGAAGAGAGAGAGAAAGATATTTGCGGGTTGCATATGAACTCAGGGCCGGCCCGTCGCACTGGCGTTGATTTTCGCCTAGGGCGCCAGATCTGGGGAGTCGCTGCGCTGGCAGCTCTGGGAGGGAAAAAAACATTTTTGACCGTTGGCGCTCATCCTAATTTTCGGCCTTGATGTAACAATATTCATAATTAAGTAAATGTAACACCCTTTTCACCACGGTTACACGTTTCATTTGCCCTGTACGATGGGCACTGTAAGTGATGAAAATGGGGGATGTTGGCTTATCTGGTGCCCGCAGCTCACAGCCAAAATGCGAGGGAGAGAGGGAGGGTGCACCGGTACCAGCGCTGTTGTTATTATAATCTGGTGCTAGCTGCTCTAACGGATATAAGAAGAAGATGTTTCTACAATGATGTGGAGGGAGAGTCCTCTCCAGTCAGACTGAGAGGCTGATACTACAGCTCAGTGAGGTAAAGGACTCTGAGTGTTTAGATAGTTCACTTTAGTCTAAGTTCAAAAGGTTTGGTCACAATTTATGTAAACACATATTTTCAAGGCACTCCTTTATAATTATTGGGATAAACAGGTTTGAAATCATTCCAATGTATACTATAGGACAGTAACCAAACATATCCTTTTAAAACTGGACTTTCAACCCAAACCCAGCTGTTGACTTGTGGATGCAAGCAGCTAATCGCAGACTCAACCAGAGAGAAAGTAGTAGGCCTACATCATCAGCTACCATGTCTGACAGAGAGGAAGACAGTGAGGAGAACAGTCAGGAGGGTAGTGATGACAGCTTGTAGGATTACTGGTCGTGCTAATGTTGTCTTGTGTTCACCTCTGCATGTGTGTTCTGTGTTCACCTCTGCATGTGTGTTCAGTGTTCACCTCTGCATGTGTGTTCTGTGTTCACCTCTGCATGTGTGTTCTGTGTTCACCTCTGCATGTGTGTTCAGTGTTCACCTCTGCATGTGTGTTCTGTGTTCACCTCTGCATGTGTGTTCAGTGTTCACCTCTGCATGTGTGTTCAGTGTTCACCTCTGCATGTGTGTTCTGTGTTCACCTCTGCATGTGTGTTCTGTGTTCACCTCTGCATGTGTGTTCTGTGTTCACCTCTGTGTGTTCTGTGCCGTGTGTCTGACAAATAAAGACCAGTTTATTTATTTCATTTTAAGGATGAGCACCAAGCAACATCTCCAGGTGATCCTTTGAGAACCAGGGCAAAAATGTTATGTGCACCCCTGATTATGCAAATGATCTACCACTAGGAAATACATCTAAAGACTATATATATATATATATATATGCCACAAGTTGTTCTACTGTCTTTTATTATAAATGTAACAACAATCAAATGTTCTTTTTAACTGTGTGTAGGAGGAAACTGCAAATGTGGGATCCAAAGTGGTGACGTCCTTGTTCCTCTCACCCGGAGGCCCCAAGTTTGTCCGCTTGATGCTTAATTTGGCCAATCACGTCATGCTGCAGAAAATGAAGACATTCACAGCAGGTAAGTCAAGAAAAAAAAAAATGATATTATGTTCTTTCAATACCAGCGGCTGTTTCATTTGTAGTTTGCCGTGCAGTTGGCACGTAACGACTATCATATAACCTTGGATCTTGTGATTGTCAGATGACAGCTGGGTTCTTGAGGCTGCAGCGCTGCCGGCTTCCTCCCTGCACATGGCCGTGAAGAGGATGCACCTGATTCATGCCAGGTTTCTGAAAGCTGCAGTAGATCAGGATCGTTTCCTTCACGCGTACCAGAGCCGAGCACAGTAAGTCCATGGCAGCTGGAGACAACTACATGTTAATCCATATTTACACCAGCAGCCTTCTACTTCACTACTCCGGTAAACCTAATTGACATTCAACTTTTTTGGCGCAGGTTGTGTCAATGGAAATCCAGCCAGGAATCACCAAAAAGTATATAGTCTCAATTTAAGATGACAGTCAATTGATACAAGAGGGGAGCTGTTTTCCCTTTTTAAAATCATTTGATAATACTTACCATGTTGAACCTTGTTTAATAATGTATCATCTGTTTGGCCTGTTGCGTACACTTTGTATCTTGTATTTAAATTATTGTGGTGTGACTCTTATCTGTTACTATCGTTGCAATGAGATATTACTTTTTGAATCTTTTTTCACTGCTGTCGTTTCATTGGCTATTTGTTTTAAGCCCCGCCTGTAAATTGTGACCTCATTTGTAAGCCAAGGGTTAACGAGACCAGTTGGCAGCAGCTGGAGGTGTTCCTAGTCAGACGTTTTAATTGGTCAAAGCAGCAAAACACAGGTGAAACAAATGTTGTTAACGACTGCTGTTTCCCTAAATGCCCCAGTGAGCCAACTATAGACACTCATGCGTGTTTCATGGACACAGCAAATGTCTATGTGCACATGTTGAAGATTTCAGAGGTTTGTGTTTTAAAGCTTGCACTTGCTGTGGAGTAATTTATTTTATAGCAAGTTCTGTTGCGAGATGATCTACTACTATTGGTATTTATGTCTTGTTTTAAAAGCTTTTTTTGGTGTGTTTTCCCTTGTTTTAAAGGCTCCTGGTGAGGTCTATGAGGGACGTCAGAGCAGAGGGCGCCAACTATGATGAGCTACTCAAGTATGTTTGACTTTTTCCATCAGTACTTCCAAATTGATTGTTTTTATTTCACTTTGTTTAATCTGTCTTTCTTCTTTCAGGCGTCACAGCAGTGATTGTGCACAAGAGGGTGCCTCTCTTGCTGAGAAGTCGAGAAAAGTATGTAACGTTATGTTTGTAGAACTTCCTACAAAACAAGGCTATAAAAAGCTCACACGAGCACTTGATTTTCTTTTCTAAAGGTGCGCTCCTTGTGGTCGGACATTGATGGAATGCTGTCGGCCACCAAAGAGGAGCAGAACGTGGTGGAAAGTGTTTTAAAGGGAGATGTAGATCAATACATCCTGGACGGGACGGATCAGGTCCTCCAGATTCCTCGCAGTCTGCTGGAGAGAATTGAACAGCTCCCTCATCAGGTGAGTGAAGATCAGTCTGTTCACTGTGTTACTGAATGAAGGCCTGTTAATTACTATACACAGGCTTTGAGTCACTAGTGATTGGTTTGAATGCACTCTATATTCCCACACCTTGGAATTCACATCACATTTAGCTTACATTTTAAGATGAAAATGCTTCTAGATGAGTCTCCTACTCGCTGTGTGTTTTACAGTTGAGTTCAGGGAATGTGTACGAGGCGGGTCAGCTGAACCTCCTGAGTGTGTTTGAGCTGACGAACCACGCGCTGCAGCTCCTGAGAGAAGAGTGCTGTCGGGTCTCTGAGGCCCCCAAACCTCAGCTCAGTCCTCAGCAGCTGCAGGTGAAATGTCAGCAGATGGCCCGTGCACTGCAGAACCTCCACCTCATCAGGTACACTTTAACTCACACTGAAACACAACTTCTGAGGAGCCAAAATATCACCCGTTTTATTGTTGGATTTTTCTTGCTCATATATATATATTTATATATATATATGCATCTTTAAGCCCTGTGCTGCTGGTGGTTTGGAAAGTGAAATGGTTATTTGAACATTTGTTATCATGGGGGAAAAACATTCTGTAAAGTTTTTGTTGGCTTACTGAAAGTTGAGTACCATTCGTTTAATCTTATATTCTTTTTTTCCCCAGACAGAGGATTTCCAAGGAAGAAATTCCTGAGGTCAGGAGCGCCGTCGGCGAGTTGCAGGCTGCATGGGACAGGAAGTGGATGGATACGCTCAAAGACACACCGCTTGTCTCTTTTCTGAATGAAGATCCTGTAAGTAGTCCTATGGCATTTTGAGCTTTATTGCTAGTCAGTGTATTTTATTTAGAAGAAACCTAAATAATAGGCTTGTCAGTATTGGATAACCTGTTGCAGTACTAAAATGTTTTGTAACTTCAAAATGGGTTCCACCCTGGTTGCATATTGTAATTAAATATGTGTCCCTTAGGCCCTTGGCTTCCTCTCACCAATGGCTCCACTGTCTTTTGAACCGGACGCGGACGCTAGCTACAGAAGTAGCGTCTTCTCACAGTACCCGGCATCGCTTCTTGGTGAGCAAAATCGAATTATTGTAAGCCATGTTTTAATTTGAGGTCTGTCATGTTTCTAATCAAACTTCTTAAAATTCCAGAGAAACCTGCAGAGAGAAAACCACAGGAAGTCCTCCTCCCTAGTTATTCTAACCCGATGAGGTAATGTGGCCTTTTTTATTAGAATAATGAAGCATGAGTGAAGGGAGGCAGATACCTGGGCAGTGCTGAGCCGTGCTCTGTCCGACACTAGTCCTCCCGACAGCATCCATGCTCTCTGATGACCGAGGCGAACTGAGAGAAATCGCCACGGACAGATACGGAGCAGACACTTTTTATGTCTATGATTATATGTAAATGTTTTCTAACGGCTTTAAAGCATTGTGGAGAAAATGTGCATTTATCTCTGTTCAACTTCAGCTTTTGGTCTTTAAAACAGCCCTCAACCGTTACCAGCTGAGAAGTTTGACAGTCCTGTTGTCACCGATGCAGCACCGTCACGAGCAAACACTTCTCTGGACTGGCTCTTTGACACCCCCCCGTCCCCCCTCCGGAAGGCTCCAGCAGTACCACCCCCTCAGGATATTATTGTATGTCAGGAATCCTGTTAATTGTCGCTCCACCTTTTTTTAAATGGTGTTTTATACCTACTTCTGTAACACTATATTTAACAAAGCTGTGCTCTGGTTTTTTTAGGCCAGTGTGAGGAAGATTGCTCATGTTCCTCAGAATGCAGCACCCATCAGGACCAAGACTCACATTTTAGACATGGAGTGTGATAACCTCGCTGACCAGGTATATTTATGGATTTAAAAAAAAGAAGCTACGTTTGTAAGTCTGCCATGTGGAGGGATGGCGATAACCAGATAAGAAACACAAGGGTGGGATTTTTAAATCAACAGTTCTGACGTGTCATTGTTTTAGTTTGCAGATGCTGTTGCTACAACCAGTCCCACAGCAGGCAGGGTGAAAGGTCTGGATTTGGACGGCCTTCTTGGCACTCTTCATGGAGATCCCTTCTCCACCAGAAAGCAGCTGCCACGCACACCTGAGAGCCTGAGTAAGTCAAGACCTGTTGCATTTCACCTCAGCCTTCAAGTGGCAATTCTGTGCCAAACAGAAGCTGCTTTTAAAGATGAGCTTTATCTGGACAGTTCTACTTTTAATAATGAAGCATGAGTGTGAAGGGAGGCAGATACCTGGGCAGTGCTGTACCGTGCTCTGTCCGACACTAGTCCTCCCGACAGCATCCATGCTCTCTGATGACCGAGGCGAACTGAGAGAAATCGCCACGGACAGATACGGAGCAGACACTCTTAATCTCTGCACAACTTTTAGTATGGAAATATTGATTTAACATCCTTAAACGACAAAGGCTCGATGTAAGCTTTAGTCATCAAGTTTCCTGTTATTTTTGAGAGGTTTTTATTACAATGACTTGCAATATCTTTTTATTATTGTCTACGTTTTTGTTTACTGGTGTAATTCCATATAAAGGTAATTGGTTTATTTAGAATGGCATGAGGTTTATGGTTTTCTGAATCTTTCCTTTCCCTTGATAAATCTTTCTAATTGTATTATTTTGTTTTGAAGTTCTGGATGTGAAGAACTCCTGGCGTAAGGCAGTTGAGGAGGACAAAGCTGAGAAGATGGAGCGGATAACAGAGTTTAACGACAGCGTGAAAAGTTTGCTCACACCCCTCCACGAGAACATTGAAGTGCAGAGCCAGAAGGGAGTCTCGCTCAAATCTTCCCTGCTGTGGGACACCTTCGACACCGAGGCCCTGGACAGCCTGAGCGGCACGGGCAGCAGCGCCGTCCAGTTCAGCCTCGATCAGGAGACGCTCCCAGAAATGCCGAGCTACGATAGCCTGCTGAGCCTCGACGATGAAGCGATGGATATGACGAGTGAGGATGATGATGAGGAGCTGCTGCTGATTCCCTCCCTGAAGACGGAGGAGAAGCAAACTCCCCTCACCACACATCCTCTGGGCCGGATCCAGCAGGCGTGCAGCGATGGCTCCTATATAAGCAGTCAGAGGACAGCAGAGTGTCTTCTGACGGATCACACAGCTTCCGGTATGGACAGAGACTGGCTGATGGAGCCTGTGAGTTCAGTGGAGGCCACAGCAAAGGTCTTCTCACTGGATTTAGACACTCTGAAGACTCCTTCCCCATTAAAGAAGCAGGAGTATAGCCTCCCAAAACTGATCACTTTCTCCCCGATTGATGACAAGAAGTGAATTGTAAAGTGTGATATAAATAGCTGTAAAGTAACCTACTTAGTTGCCATTACATTACTTTTCTGTGTTTTTAAGGTAAGAGATTAACTGCTTTTAATAAAATTGTAAAATATGGCTCTCCCGTGTGTAAATATCCATGGTTATTTTTAGTATTGTTTGTCTGCAGGGAAACATTAACATCTTGTAATTTCCAAGATATGTTTGTCCATTAAACTATTGATAACGATATTGTTTGTGTTGATGAAAAGTTAGTGTGCCCCTCACCTTTAACATTTGCGTTGCACTTTTAACATGGTTTCTAACAGAATGTGTGCACAAATATTGAAGGGAATCAGTAAGTCAGGTGTAGAATTTGTAATGTTGGTTTAAGCAGTTGGAAATAAATCTATAACTAAATATTGCTTTTTGTGGCTGACTGTTTGAACATATCTGAATTTGATAAGGTTTAATCGTTTTTACATTTGTCTTGCATTGAATATAAGATGCCAGCCATTGTTTTCATCAGAACGACCATTTGCATTTTATGTATTCATTTATTGTATATAACACACATCAAACCTAAAATAACAGTCAGACTGGACCTGTTGCTTTTTTTAAATCTTGGTGTAACTTCCCTTAGTTTAAGATAGGGGGCGTCAAAAGCTGAGAAACCAGAGCAAAAGCAATAACTGATCAAGGCAACAATATAAGACCGGGTGTAAAACCATTTCACATTCACAATAAAACTCCAAACTTACCACTGGTCAAAATGATTTGTCTATTTTAGATATGATGTACCATTAGAAAGACATTAATAATGAATGCATATTATTAAAAAATAAAATGAAATATTTAATACAATAATTTGGATAATTGACATCTTCAGGAAAACGTAAGTAAATTGAGGCGACTGACCAGGGTTAGGGTTAGGGGGGGCACAATAATTGCAGGACGAAAAAGACAAAGCCAGTATGAAGTAATTGCGCATAAGAAAACTGCAATACAGTTATTGGTATTTGTTTAATTACACATATTTATTTCAGATACTTACAGTTACGCTCTAATGCAGGGGTCTCCAACCTTTTTTAGGATGAGAGCTACTTTAAAAAAAGAAAACAAGTCGTGAGCTACTTTGACTCTTTTTGTTTTGTTTTTTGCAGTGTATGTATTTAGCACATTTTAACATTATTATATGCTTACCTTTAACCGTTGTGTGCTGTTTGGGTCTGTGGGACCCGTTTGCAGTGTTTACTAAAAGACAATGTATGCCATTTAATTATTTTTAACCTGCTTTTTTTGGGGGTGGACCTAATCTCCTCTGGTGCACTTTGAGCACAACATGAATTGATGGATACAGCTCTCAACACTCATGCTGTATACTTTTCAATGATCCAAACATCTTTAGAATATGATTACAACCAATAACAAATCATTTAAACTTGTTTATTCTTATCTTATGTTACATAATAGTTAGCATTATTTCTTTTTATTTATGCGTATTTTACTAATCACTCCCCTTTTAAACTGTTTTTTTTTTTACTGTCCTATATTACACATTGGAAATGATTTCTTACTTTATTTTTTACAACTATATGAAATAGATAAAGGTGTGCTCTCTCTAATGGGTCCGACTAGAATTACAAATATCGTTAATTCCGCCTATTCCGTCAACCAAGACATCGTTTAATCATAAACCTTTTGTAACCGGGGGGGTCCAAAGTCAGTGTTAGGGGGGCACTGCCCCCCCCCCCTAGAACCGCCCCTGCGACTGACATGCATTTTATGTTTGTTACAAATGTAATACTCTTAAGTGTTTGAATTTATGAATGAAATAAACCACTTTTGGTTGAGTTTTGCTGCAAGCACATTTACTTTATCTGAATACATTTACGTGAAATATTTTTGTATTGCAGTAGGTGACGTTAAGGAGTTTTACTTTGAAAGGCACACCGGAAGCTGCGTGTTCAATGCGTGCAGCTTGCAGCCCCTTTCCTCTGCTCGGGGCGGGTCCTGGTGAAAGAGACGTTTAGGAAGAATGCTCCCACCAACAACACTCAGACACACAAACATGGCGCCTGCCTCCGCCGACAACTTCAGATAAAAGTGTGGCGAACAAGTGCTCAGCAAAGTTTCTAAGGAGTATTTGGAAGTAACCTCTTTCGGTTTGCACAAATAGGAAATACGGAATATATCGAGCGGTTAAAAACAGCAAGTTGCCTACATGTCAACATTGTCTCTCGCTGCAGTGTAAACAGCTGGTAAGTGCTCTTTTTTTAACCATGGAAATAGCTGAGACTTAGCAAAGTTTGTTTTAGGAATAGTCAATAGCAGTTTAACTATTTAATGTGTGAAAACATGAGGTTACTTGCTGAAAAAACATGTTCCTGGTCTTTCTCTACTACTCTTTCATCGCGGAAACTAGAGACAGCCACGTATCACTGCGCAGGTTGATCACAGAAGCACATTTATTTTTGTTTAATCCGCGGTGATGTGTATTTCCTGCATGAAAGTCGACCTAATTATTGGTCGGATGCAACAGTTGGGACATGGGGAGAATAACCCCCCGGCCCTCCCCTCTTTTTGTACTCCCCTCCTCCTCCCGGCCGGGCCCTCCTTGACATGACGCCAGATCTCCTGGAGCCTGCCTAACCTGCAGGTGTCATTCAGTGAATATCCTGCCTTAACATCCAATAGATAATAAGAAAACAAAAGAGGTTCAGCAGGGGGGGGGAGGGGGAGAGATAAGGACTACTTTGTGTCATGTCTGCATTCGTTTGACCCTAAGGTCAAGGTGCCCCTGTGTGTCAGGTGAGCACAAATGCCATTGAATGCATTACCCAAAGTGCTCACATATCTGCGCCTCAGCATTTGACAGGGTGCCAGCCAGCTGCAGTGTGACCCTAAAGGCAGCAGAGTACTCCCAGCTCCAGTGATTCATGGCATGCATGTGATGTTCCTGTTATGACAGCCATGCATGGCACAAGTCCCACCAGAGCAGAGAATGGAAACTTCCTCTTGTATTTAACTTTTTGTGTTGCAACCTGATATGGCAGCATAAATGATAATAGCATGCTCTTGCAGAATTGACACGTGGAAACTGAAAGATCTCTTCCTTGACCTTGGCTTGGCCTGCCAGCGGCTGGAAAAGGGGAGTGGAGTGAGGGCTGCTCCCTGCTGCAGCAGCAGGTAGAAAGTAGGTCATGGCTTTGTGTACATTGAACTTGCACTTTGTCACCACTGCCGGCCGTCTAAAGGTGAGGTGATCAAGGAGAGGAAGTTGGCCGAGGGATTAGCAGCAGGCTGGTTGCCTTGGCAAAAGTCAAATTGGATTTGGATGAGTGTAAGAAAACGAATCATAATTGTGACTGTTTTCTGAGTTGCGTTGATATATTAGTGCAGATCTTTTCTCTGACTCTTCCAATGGCAATACAGCTGTTAACAATTCAGCCAACACTTTCAGTTTTCAACTGGCACTTATTGATCTCAGGAATTGCATTACGACTGACACGGCATTTTATTATTTTATTGCATACAATTCCTTTCACTGACATTTTAACTTATTTAATGCTGTTTTGTTTTCAGCCTCTCAAATATGCTTATTTACTGCTTTCTCATATCAAAGTGATGATTTAGGTTTTTTGCCTGACAAAACATGACTCTTAAAGAAATATTTCACTATTTTATAGACTAAACCTAGGATATAATGGGCAGAATATAATCTAAATAATATTTAGTTGCAGTCCTGTTTATAGGTTTTGAACAAAAAAACACTCTTCCAACTTCCCCATAGGAATAATTGTCACTTTGGTGAGATTCTTTCCCACCATTACCATGCTATAACAAATGGTTTTAATTGCCTTTTCTTTCTATTTAATTAGCCAGAAAAACAACATTATTTATACCACACAGACTACTGACTACAGCCTGTCTTTAGGCTTGCTGAACTTACCTGAAACACTTGAGTGTATTTTGTTAAGCTACCTGTTTGCATTTCTTAATACATATTAACTTCACACAGTGGTTTCAATCCAAAGAGCAGGAACAAAGATCTTGTCGGTCAGCCAGAAATCAGGTAAATACATCCTCTATCACTCTGGTGATGTGCCAGTTAGTCGTCTTCTTTCAATAGGCCCCGATCTGAGATGTGGTCATTTTTTCATTTAGGCTTTGTTTAACAGGCTCATTGAGCTATTTCAAGATGGCAACCTGGCAAATAAGAGAGTGTCAATAACATGTAGAATTGAAAACACAGACAACCTGGGAGGAATAGCAAATTGGAAAATGTCCGTAGAGTAAAGATTGTGATTTGACATTTGTACTTCAAAGGATTTTTAGGCCCAGCTAGTTATAAGGGCTGGCAGTTGGCCCTCTCTCCCTCCTCAGAGTGGAAGGAATGCTCTCTGTCCGCCGGGTGTCACGCTCCAGGAGGGAGGCAGTCTTGTGACGTTTCGCTGAGCCGAGCCTCGCTGCTTCCATCGTCTGACCTGCACCAACGGTTTTTACTCGTAAAAGTCACTTTTTATAGACAAAAAATGCCACTGTACTTATTTGCTGCCATTGTTCTTGACACAGTTTAGTGCTGTGTGTCACTTTCTCCTGAGAGCACACCTTCTCAACCACACAGTCTACTCAGTGTGCCAGGAGGAAAAAGGTGACATTTTCAGGCTCAGTTATTAGCCACCAGCTGCTTTGATGTTATCTTGATAAAACTTTAAACGCAGTTGGATTGACAAAGATGTGCAGAGATAAAAAACTAAAAGGGGAACAGACGGTTAGCTTGAGCCTTTGTGTTAGTCCTGAAGATAAATGGGACCAAATTAAAATGTTATGCACAATTATCCCGGCAATAGTACTTATCCCAGAATCTCAGTATTCATTGAATATGCTTAGAAATGTCACTAAAACATTAGGGGTGTAACGGTTCACAAACATTTCGGTTCGGTACGTACCTCGGTTTTTAGGTCACGGTTCGGTACGTTTTCGGTACAGCAGAACAAATTATCACAAAACATAAAATATATAATTTTTAATCATTATTAAACGGTGAATAATGTATTCACGCAAATAAATACAAAATATAATAAAATAAACATTAAGGTGCAGCATTTCGATGAACTGAAATAACACGTGTGCCGAACCGAAGGGCCAGTACCGAATCATTTCGGTACGGGTACGTATACCGTTACACCCCAATAAAACATACTTTACTTTACATGTTGTTGGTTAACAAATATTTTCATGGCATCGCA